AAAAAAAAAAAAAAAAAAAAAAAAGAAAGAAAGAAAAGAAAAGAAAAAAATATCGAATCTATTCTTGAATCGCGTTTGTCCACGTAATATCTATACGTTCCTTCGTTTTGTCTTCTTTTTTATTTATCTTTCTCAAAGAGAAGATCCCATCAGTGTATAGTAACTGCTCGCGAATTATTCGAAAATCGTGACGGAGGAAAATAAAAAAAAAAAGAAAAGAGAAACAGAGTGAAACGCGTGGATCGCGTTGTTAAGTAAAATTGACAGAGATTTTTGATGGTAATTTCTCGCGACACGCGTCCAGTTCCATTTAGCCCCCCGCGCGCCGATGTAACGAATTACTCGCGTTTTAACGATCGATTTCTCGATAAACCGTCGGCTCTGAATATGGTAAAGAGAAGAAAGAAAGAAAGAAAGAAAGAAAGAGAAAAAAGAAAAGAAAAGAAAAGGAAAGAAAAGAAAAGAAAAGAAAAGTCAGTAACAAGAAGAAATATATACATAAATATATATATATATATATAAAGAGAGAGAGAGATAGAGAGAAGAGTTTGCGTGGCTATATCGGGCAAGTGAGTTGGTATTGGACAATACGAGAAACGTGTGTTTTATCTGCAAGGTAACCGCGAGAATGGGAAAAGTGTGAAAGATCGTACGAGAGGACATGTCTTTCTAGAAACACCACTAGCACATCACATATCATGTACGGCATATCAGATGAGCCGCTAGTCTGTATGTAGACTAGATGTAGAGATAGCAGCCATGTTCCCGGAGCGCCAGATAGCTTTAGGTACGCACTGAGATCAACGCATCGTTCCTAGATAATTGATTTGAAACGATTTCGCGTGGATACTTGAACATCGTTCGTTCGTGTTCCCGCGTTCCTCAGGAAAAAGATCTCAATTTAGGGAGAAATTCAAACGAACCTGTATCGTGTATCATCGTGAAGTATCCACGTGAAGTCCATGGACGTGTGTTGTTTAAAAAAAAAAAAAAAAAAAAAAAAACTTACCCTTGTGTCTTCGTTTTTAAACTGAAACTACCCTATCGCCTTCTAAAATTCTCTCTGTTCTTTGGTGGCCAACTTGTCTCTCCGCGGCAACGAAGTGACGACACGATTTCCATTGATTCAGGCACTCTCTGCTGAACGAGAGGGTTGAAACTTCGTCGCCGTTTCTCTGCCTTTTTGTCCGTTTTCTTTCTATCTATCTATCAACATTCGTCACGTCTCTTTCAGCAGCTCGTTACTTCCCTGCGAATATATTTTTGTATTTAGTACTTAGAGAAGAGAGTTATTATGTCTGTCTGCCATCCTGAAAGTCTCTCCTCACTTCGCAATATCTTGCTGTTCTTTCTTTCTATTTATTTATTTTGCCCCTTTTCTCATCCTTTTGCTACTCGCAGCTACTACGAGTAAAGCGTAGGCAGAACCTGACGTTGCTTGATTACGTGTGTTAATCCGATATAAACTGCACAGCATTTGCACCTCGTTCGCAACCATTTTTCAACGATTTTCATATTTCCGACCCAACGCGAAGATTTTCTGCTCGATTTTGTTTTAACGCAACAAGTTATCCCAATATTGAACATACATAAACAGTTAGTAAGGTAAGTCCGCCGTATTCGAAGTCCCTTGTTCAAGTGTTTCTTCAGTGTTTCTCGCAATTGTATTATACCAAACGACAATGACCCAAAGACCCCGGAGAAACAACACCGAATGATGTTGCAAAAAAAAAAAAAAAGAACACCTGTTCCCCTGTCTGAAATTCTTACCTCTCTCACTGTGTGTACATACGAGTTGTAGTTACTTCCATTGTTTATCTAACTCTTTTCGTTTTGTTGCTCTTGTACACGATATGTTTCTGTGGCAATTATTATTTTGCGATCTGGCAAATGGACTGACGCGCGACTGATCTGTGACTTTTCTTTCCGTTTCCTTTCCAGTGAGAGCAACGCAAAGACACTCAACGTGAGACCGATACGAATTTCAACGTGGTGTGCTATGAAAGAAGGGTGCCGAACGATGATCCGATGTCCGACGTTGAAGTGAAACGAAGAACGAGAAAGAGGCAGTGGTGAAAAAGTGGTGAAAAAGAAAGAAAGAAAAAAGAAAGAGAAAAAAGTTATTGCAAAAAAAAAAAAATGTTTCCAAATGCAGTTACGAACCGCGTGGTGATACGACGGCGTGTATTCGTCGTCACGAACCATTAACGAAATTTTAAGTAACATATACGTACATACATACGTACCGTTTCGCGTGATCGCGAAACAGACGTTTCAAACAATATTTGTACATAATATAGGACGCTCCTCGTGTGTCGACACCAGTGTGACGATTTATCAGATATAAAACGAAGGGACAGCCGTGCGTAATGAACGAACAAAATTAAAAATTAACAAAAAAAAAAGAGAATAATTCACGAGAAAAGGAGGAAACCAACCAGATATAAAGTTATATACTTGGGAACTCGTTGTCAAAAGTTTTTAGCCAAGAAATATCATCGTCAGAGCATATATTATTTATTGTAAATATTATAACAATGATATATATATATATATATATGAATTCGCGATACGTATGCGCGCAGGTGTTTAGAAAATGATGAACAATTGCCTTGACCGTCGCGTTTTCGTTGTCCCGTTGTCCTCGCGATTTCGAGCGTCGCGGCGTCCACCCGCGCTACGTATTGATTTTTACTACCACGATCTATCGAGCTCGAGACGATGGAGACTCTTCGTCATCCCTTGTGCCGCGTTTGATCCGTCGAATTCGAAAGGCGTCGCGAGGCGAACGGGAACGAGGCCGAGAAAATATCGTGAATTAGCGAATTGTTGTTGAACGTTAAAAGTAGCCCATCTTCAACTATTTTGCGTGAGAGAGACTGCGCGCGC